CATCACGTGTTACTTTAACAGTTGGATAAATATCATCATCATTATCAGGAATTACTTTTGCATCAGTTTTCGATTTTTTTCTTTAAACATCGATTTTCTTCATCAATTTTTACTTGACGATATAATTGATCAGATAGTGTTACTTGTGAACTAGTAGCATTTGTTCCTTGTGATAATATTAATTCAATACAATCATTACCATTTATAGTACCCGAAGTTGTTTCAGTCTATAATATTAAAGATAAATTCAAGGATTGAACTAGACTATTTGCATTCTATAGAATCAAATGAGCTAAGAATATCCTGAAGATAGTGCAAGTCCGTAACTTATTGATGTCGAGATATTGCACTTTTACCGTAGTTTTTAAATGAATGTCGTAGTTAGAGCCCGTCGGATTAGTTTCGAATCCGAAAACTTTGAATTCGATGGGTTCTAGCCATGGTGCTTCGCAAGAATATCATAAAAACTAATTTTCGAATTTTGCCTTGGAACTCTTCATAGAGACAGACCTTAACGAGACTAGTTTCTTGTGAATGTTTCAGACCTTGCCATTGCTCCTATCTTAAGATAAAGCTATGATAAAAACTTGTTCTTTATATTTGATGACAAATTCGACGTTCTTATGTCAACATAGACGATAATCAAAAGATTTGAAACGTTCATAATAAATCACTAACACTAAAAACTTATTTGTGTCAATTTTGTTTTTTTTTGAATCTTGTAAATAGAATGGATTCATTTGTTCATTTTGTTTTTTTGATTCTCGTTGTTTTTCTAATTCTTCAGCAGTTGGTTCAATATATTTTTTCGATTTTTGATAACTTAATGTATCACCAGAGTATGAATTAGAATTATAATTTTCTCCATTATCATCATAAAATAAATCTTTATTATCACAATATGAACTTGTTGTTATCGATTCATCTGCACTGTCTGATTGAGGATCATTTATCCAACCATCCAAATCCAAAAACTTTGAGCTTTAGCAGCAATTGGATTAAGAACATCATCAAATAATACTGATAATTCATTAACATTAAATTTAGATTTTTTAATTAATTATAATTTTGTTTTAAAAATATGTTAAATAACACTTGGCCTAAATAAATAATTTCTTTTTTGTTTTATATTTGATATTTCAAGCTATTGGTAAAAGACATCCGGATATTTATTATGATTATTTTTCTAGCATTTTTATGAACTTTTCAAGTTCAATTAGTTTCGATCAACATTTTCAAAACGACAACTTCTCAGAATTTTATGACGTATCATCTAGGAATAAATTAAGTATATCAGTTGCCTGATACGGAAAAACAAACTATAGTATATTTGAGCAAATAGATTCTTTCGAAAAATAATTTTTTAAATTTTGGATAGCTGATGCTGATTAATTGTGATTATCTAGCTTCTTTCACTGGAAAGATTTCTGACAAATAGATACTATCCATAGATTGTGTTTAGAACTCAACAATCAATGTGAAACTTTGAAAAATGTATAAGTTTTAACTTGTATTATTTATTTGAACCTTCATCAATTCGAAAAATGAGTGATTATAGTAGAAGTCAATTAGGACAGGTCTGTATCGGAGGTTATATTTGAGACGATTGATGCCCACAAGGGTTTGGATCCATATGCTAGTGCATCCAACTTAAGTTTGGTGGTGAAATGCTCAATCCGATAGTAAATTCAAATTTAAATAAAAGTGTCGGAAAAAAAGTTACATATTCACCAGTCATTATTTTTTAGTTCTAATGGAGCAGAAGGATCTTCAGTAAATCCAAACGGTCTGTAGTGTGTAGAGTAAACATATAACGCTGCATAACTATATAACATCTGATGACTATCATTAAAACTTCAATTTGAAACATACGTTTTATTTATATCATTTTATCTATTTGATAACAGCTATTGCAAGACGGCTACTCATTTGCAATTAGAATTCAAAGTGTAATTAAATGCAGATTCATAGTAGATTTATTGCTAGCTACAAACTAGATTCAGATATCATGAATCGATTTTATCGCCAGACTGTCTCTTGTGTGGGGAGGTAGGCGCGTAAATCTTAGGTGAAAATATGAAAATCGAGTTTTCAATGATTTAGATAGTGATTAATATATTTGAAAATATGTTCGTTTTGATTGCGTAAAAATTGTTGCGTAACGCAGAAAATCACCTGATCCAACAGTAGTCTAAAAATATTGCTAAATTACTAAAAATTGATTTTTATTCAAGATGTAACCAATTAATTGGCAAAAAGCAATACATATTCTAAAATTTGTGCATTCTCTACTATCTAATAGTAAAGCAAAAAGTTTAGTTTGAGTCGCCACCTTTGAGAAATAAGATGAACATTTCTACAATGAATTTTCCAAACCACTTCGTTATAGTAAAATGAATGTGCATCTCTTAGCACCAATTTAAATCTACTCACACTTTACCTACAAGTCCTTCTATATGACCTGCATCAGCACAGATAGCATAAACATTCCTGGATCGTACAGCAGATTTTCAGCTGAGTTCCTCTTTTGTTGGCTCTAAAGCATTTCTATTCAAAACCAATAACTTATCCAAAATCAACATATGAAATGGCGTTGAATGATGTTTGATAAAAAATCTTCTTGAAGATGATCTTCTGAGCAACAGAAATTACATGTTCATCTCCCATGTAAAAAATGCGATTTTTTTTATCTTGATGTCTTTTAAAATAAAAAGCAAAAATGGCCTACTCGTTCTTGTGCTTCGACATCACCACTTGATAAAAATAGAGACATTTTATCAATCATTAATGAAAGAAGTTGTTGAATTAATGTTTTATCATTAGTGGATGATTGAATTAAATATATTATAATTTATAAAATGTTTTGATTTTTTAATGACTATAGAGAAAAGAAAAACAAGAATTCTTTCAATTAAGTTTGTTTTTCGTTATTGACTTACGAACAAAATCCACTACAAATCCATGCAGCAGCATATAAAACTTCGGAGACAGTTGTAGAATTTGAATCATGAATAAAAACATAATCATTTTCAAGAAGAATTGCCTGAAAGAATAGAAATAAAAAAATTTTTTCGTGATTTTATCTTTGAAAAATTTCTATCATTTGATTACAAGCAAATGAACGAATAGACTCAACACGAACAACAACATCAAGCATTTGTAAAGATATGAGATTACCATGTTTTGTATTTTAAAGACGAGTTAATTCAACCCATATACTAATATATCTATAGTGATAAATAATGTTTTTTTATTAATAAAAATTAAAAAATAAATGTAAACCATTCAAAATTAGTTATATGTTGATAATCATTTTGACTACATATTTCAATTATTTTTGAAAGTAATTCATCTCGATAATGTGATCCTTCAGATTTATCCATATGAATCATTAATTTATGTACGATAACCATCAGAGTTTTTCTTGTTACTCGAACAAAAACAAAATTCATAATCAAAATTGTCATTGATTTTTTAGCTAATAATTCATTTTCTTACCATTCGAGAAAGAAGATCAAGTGCACGTAAACGAATTGATTCATCTTTATTATCCAGACAAAGCATTATTAAATCACTATGTACTTGAACACTTTTTGAATGTGTATGTAAGATTTTCGACATAGCAAGTAAACCAAGATATTTTACTAAAAAATAATATAAAAATTTCCTTTTTTTTTGTATAATGAATATATTTCATACAATTTCGATCTTAATAAATTAAAAATTTTCTAAAGGTTTATCCTGATCAATTATGAGTACAAAATGAAAAATATCTACAAAGTTCTTTCAATGTTTAATTCTTACTATTCTTCTAGAAAACATTTTATATAATATAGTGAAGATTGTTTTGTTTATTTTAAATTCTTTTAAAAATGCTAATACGTATATGATAAACAAGTTAATTGTTATAATGATGATATCTATATGTTCCGAACCATGTTCTTGAAATATCTAATCTCCAGCTACATGCTATTGGTGATTTTGATGAATATTGTATTGATTCTTCAGCAATGGCTTGTCGTAGTCGTGCAACACATCTTGTTTGTATAAGACAACATCCACTACCAAAGACTATTAATCCAATCATAGTCAAAGCAATAGCTATTCCTACTAATATAGGAAATCCATGTCTATCAGAATTAATATTTGTTATTTCACCAACAATAAAAAAGACAATTCCAGCGACTATGATCAAATCATAAGCAATAGCAAGAATTATTAAAATTTTATTTGAAGATATTCGATGATTTATGTTATTAGTTGATTGTCGAAAAATCATCTTGATTAATAATACCATTTAAATGTATTGCATATGTTGAATCAAATTTTGATTAACAACATCTAGCTTATATATTACTAAATAAAAATTTTATTAAATTAAATAAATCTCTATAATTTACTTTGAACCATTGGTATATAAACTGAATTAGGATTTACCGGAACACCAATCATTCTTTTTTTTTTGTCTTTTAAATAAACTCAATCATAAAAAAGAATTTCCTAGATAAAATAAATTTTGAAATATGAAAATTCTACATTCGAGTCATGGACTTGAAAAACCCCTGGTTTTTTAATTAATTCTATTTATCGATTAATATTCATTGTCATGTCTGTTGTAACGATAGTTTTTAGACCCGATCTCGATCTTTTGGTGATCGAATTTGGCACAACAAAAAATTCAATTAAAATAATGACTAAATAAACGAAGGTCATATATGAATTAATCGGTTTCTATAATAAATTATTTATAAGATAAATATTTGTTCCTAATGAACCTCATCATCAAAAAAAAAAAATTAATTTCAGATATTTGAATTTAATTATAGACACAAGAATTCACTGCGACTATTCTTGATGATAGCAACTTTTTAATTTTATAGCAATTTCACCTTGGAATAGGATGACTCTTGAAATTTATCTTTAATACAAACTATAAACTAAATTATGACATAGGACATGAGAAACTTACATTAATCTTATACTGATATAAAAGATTATCATAAGGAATAACCCTAATCAATTGCTCTGTGGTTGTTCAATATTAAACATCTGAAATTTATTTAACTGATTTCGAGTTTTTCAAGAAAAAAGAACAGATTTTATGAAGAATTTTTACAATAAGATGAATATTTGATAGATTAACCTTGCCTACGTTTGTCATCAATAAAAATATCATTAAAATGATCATGGTATTGAATTTTAGTTTCAACAATATTCGAGTATTTCTCACCATTTCTCGTTAAAATCGATATGAAAATAAAATAGATTACTATAACTATTGTACAACTTATAGAATTTTTAAACGAACACGATAATGATGCAAAGAATTAATCAAAGAAAAAAAATATTATGCCTATTGTAATGAAGAGATAATAATAAATGATTGAAACTAAAAAGTTTCTCATAATATTCACAGTAGAATAGAAGAAAAAGTTGAATAGGACTCAAGCAATAAAAGAAAAGAATAAAAAGAATCTGTTCGTTTTTTTTCAATAGATTCAATGGCAACATACATCATTTTACATTTATTTCGTAATGTTGCACATTAAATAAATCGAAAGAAGAACAATAAATTACGATTTGTAGCATTACAAAGCGACAATTTTTCTTTATTTTTTGGCATTGAAAATAGATCAATATATATCTTTTTTTATATAACCGTTTATCAGTAGATAGTTCACTCTTTTCAACTTTTAGAAAAGACCTGACTTGAGAAAAATAGAAGTCTTGCTTTATATTCTTGAGAGATTA